TGAATGTGTCATATAAGGCATACTTTTAAAAATACTTTTATTGAAGTATGAAAATGACAGAACAGAGAATCATGGGTCTAAAGACAGAAAGATGAGGGAGATAGAAAGCCCACTGGGTGATTGGGGGTGGGGGCCAGCAGCACCGGAAACCTCAGCCTGAAGGGATCCCCACGTGGGGGGAGGGGGAACCTTTGGTCTCTCCCCAGCCTCTTCCTTCCCCCTGGCCTGGGCCTGGGTGGGGAGGGGCAGTTCCTCTTTCCTTCCCAAGCACTGAGGAGGCCCCGGCTCCCAAGGGGCTAAGAAGCCGGAGCATTGGTGAAAGGGGAGAAGCTGAGCCAGACCCTGGCAAGACCCCCTCCAACCCCACCCCCAGGAAGCATGAACAGGAAAGACAGCAAGAGGTGAGAGACCCTCGAGGAGACTGGGCCACCCAAAGCCCCTGAGCCTCCCATTGTGTGGGAAGGTTGGGAGGCACTAACCAGTTAGCAGGGTGTGGGGTCCTCTGGGAGCAGAGGCAGGAGCAGGGGGCACCAGATGGAAAGATGCTTTAGGGCAGCGGTTCTCAACCTGTGGGTCGCGACCCCTTTGGCAGTTGAACGACCCTTTCACAGGGGTCGCCTAAGACCACCCTGCATATCAGATATTTACCTTACGATTCATAATAGTAGCAACATTACAGTTATGAAGTAGCAACGAAAATAATTTTATGCTTGGGTCACAACATGAGGAACTGTATTTAAAGGGCCAGAAAGTTGAGAACCATTGCTTTAGGGAGTTCAGAGCCAGCCAATGCTGGGGCTCTTTGTATGAGCTCTATGCCTTGTCCTCGCTCTCTCTGGAGCTGGACCTGCTCTGTTTCCCCTTCTCCCCACCCCCACCCTCTGTCCTCCCTGGGGTCTTCCTGGTTCCCTATAACAGTTGCTTGCTGACCCCCTGAACTGGAAACTCCAGGCTCCTGCAGGGACCTGCCCCGGGGGAGAGGATGTGACACAGGGCAAAGGGATTCCCTTGCCTCTTAAACCACTCCTGGCTGCTTCAGATACTACAGGGGTCAGACAGTCCGCAGGTAAGGGCCTAGCAGCTGGTTCTGGCAGCAGGTTCTGGCATGGACCTCTATCGCATGGGCAAGCTGGCCCTCGTGTCCTCACAAGGCCATGGTAATTGGGTTCCTAGCCTGGGCAGCTCCTCCAGCATGTCTCTGATGTACAAAGGGGTCCCTTCCCCATAATATCCAGCAATTTAGTGGTTGAGACCTAGTTGCCTCATTTTCTGCCTGCATGACCTATATATATTTGTTGATTTCAGAGAGGAAAGAAAGGGAGAGAGAGAAACATCAATGATGAGAGAGAATCATTGCTTGGCTGCCTCCAGCACGCCCCCTACTGAGGATCGAGCCTGCAACCCAGGCATGTGCTCTTGCTGGGAATTGAACCGTGACCTCCTGGTTTATAGATCAATGATCAACCACTGATCAGCCACACCAGCCAGGCTTACTTAGCACTTTTGAAGAGTGAGGCATTGATGTTCAGAGCAGATTCCTAGGGAAGGTCCCAGGGTGACTCTCATTTTTTATATGAGGCCCATAGAAATTAAGTGACTAATAGCCACATGGCCAGCATACATTTCTCCAACCTCAATTTGTCTGACTTGTGGAAACCAAGGCTATTCTGCCTGGATTCTCCTCCCTGCTTCCTCCACCATTCCAGTCTCTCCATTACCCTCTTTCCCCAACGGGAACACCAGCCTCCAGCCTTGAGGAGGCACAAAGCAGAGTGAGGGTTATTTTTAAACTTCCCTTGAAACTGTATCAGCCCCAAGGACCCCACCCACTCTGAAGAGCACCCATACTTTCTCTCTAGGCTCCAAATCTAGGGACTAAAGTGAGTGGCTAAGACTCAAGTCCTGCAGAAGGGCTGGCCTGATGAAGGTGTCAAGGCAGGGGAGAGGGAGATAGAATCTCAGTGTCTACTGCTCTCATGAGGGCTGGGAAAAGAAGGCGCAGCATTGGAGAACAAAAGGGAATTCTGTGGAGTCTCCCTGAAGGCAGAATCTCCTATGATTCCCCTGGGATGACAGGATTATGGTAGTCTTCACCCATAATTCCCTTTAAGATCTGGAGTAATTCCAGGGATCTGCCAACAGGAAATATCTCCCATGATGCCTAGGGACTGTATAGTCAAGGGGAATTTGGGGGCAATGCCTAGAGGAGGAATTTCTTATGACTAGAGGGTCATCTCCCATGATTCTCTGGGGAGGCGGTGGATGTTTCAGGGTAGTTTTGAGGGTCTTATCCTGATTCCCTGGAGATGGTAGTAACCTTTGGAGTTCACCTGTTTAGCCTTTGAAGGCTCCCATGATCTGGAATACTCTGGGGGTTTTCTCCCATGAGTCCATGGGAGGTCAGGAGTAACCCTGAGGCTTTGCCTTTAGGGCTTTAAGGTCAAGAAGGATTCTGGGGGCCTGCCTGAAGAAAGGGGCTCCCATGATTCCCTGGGGGAAATGCCCACAGGAAGTCCCACCAGGAATGCCCAGGAAAGACAGGAGGGCGGGGCCGGCCCCGACAGGCCCGCCGCCACAAGACGTGCCCCAGCCCCAGGGAAATCAGCAAGGTCATGGCTTCCATGGCTCTGGACATGCTGAAAGAGGGTGGCTGCAGCGAAGATGAGCTGCTGGAGAAATGCATTCAGTCCTTTGGTGAGTGTCCCCCTCCCTGGCCAGCCTCCCAAATACTAAGGTTGGGCCAAGTGCTCTCCTCTCTCTAGGCCTCATTTGGGGGGTAGGGGTGGGGGTGGGGGGTTATGACATAGGATGTGTGGAATCACTACATTAGATATGAGAGACACCTGTGTTTCTCTTTCCTGAGATGTGGAGAAGGAGGAAGTCTGATAATATTTCCATCTTCAACATGACTTGCCAGGCACTGTTCTGATTCATGCATAGTACAGACCAGGAAACTGAGACTCAAGGATGCCAACTTGCTCGCCCAAGTTCATGCAGGGAGTCAGGAGAAGAGCTGGGGTTTGAACCAGGCGGTCCAACTGGCTCTGGAGACTGCAGTTCATTGCCTGGGGGCCATTCTGACACAGAGTCCCCTTCTTCTGTCCACAGACTCGGCTGGCAGCCTGCGCCGTGGGGACCACATTCTCAACATGGTACTGGCCATGCACAGCTGGGTGCTGCCTTCTGACCACCTTGCTGCCCGTCTGCTGACCTTATATCCTCCCAGGGCCATAGGCAGTGGTGAAGGGCAGAGGGCAGAGATGTGAGTCTGAGAGATAGGGACAAAGTGAACAGGCAGGTTTGGGATGCTGGCTATCAGAGCCTTAACCAGAACCCAAGTATCAGGAGGCCACAGGGAACACGCAGGAGCTGAGGCGGCTGCAGATCTGTCACCTGGTCAGGTAGGACTGGGCCAAGACCTCCATACCCATGACCCCAAACCCTCACCCTGCTGACCCCTAAAACACCTCCTAGAGACTCCCCAGCCCAATTCCCCATAGACCCACCCAGCTCTGCTCCTCCAAATCCCACTTTCAGATACCTGGTTTGATTGCTAAGATTCTCCCAGTTATGCTCCTTAGAATTCTCACCTCTTAGAGACCCCTAACCAGATCCTATAGACCCTCTCACAGCTGGTGCCCAGACACCTCTAGCTCTGATCCCCAAACCCCTACCTCCCACATACTCCAGCCTAGCTTCTAAGACCCCCTTCATCCTACTCTCCCAAAATCTCACCCCTGAGACCTCCTCACTATCCTACCTAGCAATGTCACTTCCAAGAGATCCCCCCAGTTTATATCCTATTGATCCACTAACCTGTGCTAAGGGGCCCTCAATCCTAATCCCAGAGATTGCACTAGCCTGGTGCCTCTCTGAACCCTGACCTTCCAGAGATCCCCCACCAGCACCTAGAGATTCCTCAGAGAACTTCCCTACCCTCACCCACCATCCCACCATCCAGCCTCATCTCACCATCTCTAAACCGTCCTCAGGTACTGGCTGACCCAACACCCTGAGACAGTGCACCAGGAGCCCCAGTTAGAGGAGGTTATAGGTCGTTTCTGGGCCACTGTGGACCAGGAAGGCAACTCAGCCCAGAGGAGCCTGGGAGATTCCTCCAACCTGTGAGTCAGCCCTTCCCCATTCTGTCCCTACCCCCACTCTGCCATCTCTCTCCATACCCCCCACATTCTCCACCCTGGGCCCCTATAATGCCCTGCGCCTCTTTACCCCCAGTCTGAGCCCTGGTGGCCCTGGCCCCCCACCCTCCATAAGCAGCCCAGGCCTGGGCAAAAAGCGCAAAGTGTCCTTGCTTTTCGACCACCTGGAGGCAGGGGAGCTGGCTCAGCACCTCACTTACCTGGAGTTCCGGTCCTTTCAGGCTATCAAGGTGAGAACCCCCTTCCTCCAGCTAGGGAGGACTTGTAATGGGGCAGGGCCTGGCTGGGGCCAGGTAAGAGGACACCTCCCCACCCTGGCCTGGACTCTGGGCAGGGATCTCTCTCTCAAGCGTGGTGCTAGAAGGGCCAGGAAAATGAGTTAAGCTGGTTGAGCACAGAGCCCCTGGGATTCAAATCCATCAGCCCCTTGTTACCTGTGTACCTTTGAACTAATCCCTTCTCTGGGACTCAGTGTTTTTAATGGAGGTCATAATACTTCATTGGATGGTTGGGAGAGTTAAATTAATATGTCCATTTGAAAATGCTTGTCCCAATGCCTGGCACATAGTAAGTGCTAAAGATAGGGTCAGTGCCTGGTCCAGAGTAAATGCTGTCATATTTTATCTGCCCAAATGATAATTTCATGTTTCAATCTAGTAAGTGTTCATTATTGCCATCCTAATTTCAAGGGAAGGTGGGGATCTAGTTTTTTTTGTTGTGTTTGTTTTATACTTTTGTTTTGTTAAATTTATTTTTAAATTACAGTTAACATACTTATGTTTCAGGTGTATAACATAGTGATTAGACATTTACATACCTTACAAAGTAATCATCCTGATGGGATCTGGTTTTTTAATGTGAACATTTCCTGATCGTGTGTGCACACATACACACACACACACACATACACACATGCAGCACACACGCAGCACAGTGCATGTGGATATGGAATGCTGACCCCTGAGCAGAACAAATAGAAATCGGTTTCTTGTCCTCTTCGTCATTCTTCCCTTTGCTGACTGTATACCAGACAGGTAAACAGTTAAGAGCAACAGACTTAGTTCCCACCCTGACTCAAGCATGTGTGATCCTGGACAAATTATTTATCCTCTCGGTACCTCCTTGGCCTCATCTCCAAAATGGGAATAATATAGTAGTCACTTCATAGAGTCGATGTGAGGATTAAGTCAGTTAACATGACAAAAGGTTCAGAAGAGTGCCTGGCTTTATGTAAACATTTCTCTGGCCCTGGCTAGTGTGGCTCGGTTGGTTGTGACATCGATTCTCAGTTAGGGCACATACCTAGGCTGAGGTTGGATGCTTGGTCAGAGTGAGTATGGGAGGCAACCATTGATGTTTCCCTCTCTGTCTCCCTTCCTCTCTCTAAAATCAGTAAACATATCCTCAAGTGAGAATTTTTAAAAATAATAAATACATAAACATTTCTCCTCAGATGGGAAAGAGCCATGGTGACGTCAGGGACATGACAGCCAGGCTAGGACTTAGGACAGCGGTTCTCAACCTGTGGGTCGCGACCCCTCTGGGGGTCGAACGACCCTTTCATAGGGGTCTCCTAAGACCATCGGAAAACACATATATAATTACATATTGTTTTGTGATTAATCACTATGCTTTAATTATGTTCAATTTGTAACAATAAAAATACATCCTGCATATCAGATATTTACATTACGATTCATAACAGAAGCAAAATTACAGTTATGAAGTAGCAATGAAAATAATTTTATGGTTGGGGGTCACCACAACATGAGGAACTGTATTAAAGGGTCGTGGCATTAGGAAGGTTGAGAACCACTGACTCAGGAGGTCATGACTGCTAGGGGGATGGGCGTGTGAGGGGCAGAGCCTGAACGCCACGCCCACCCTGATGCCCATTCATCCCCAGCCCCAGGACCTGCGAGACTACGTTTTACAGGGCTCTGTGCGAGGCTGCTCGGCCCTGGAGGGATCCGTAGGTCTCAGCAACAGCGTGTCCCGCTGGGTGCAGGTCATGGTGCTGAGCCGGCCCGGGCCCACACAGCGCGCACAGGTGCTGGACAAGTTCATCCATGTGGCACAGGTGAGGCCTGCCCCGCCCTCTGCTCGCTTTGTGGGCGCTCGCACGCCTTCAGTTCCAGTTGTCATCCCGGGTAATGACAACACCGTGTCCTGGTCGCGCCCCATCCTGGCCACGCCCGCCCCGTCTTCTTC